GAACTTGACAATGTTTGTTGTGTTCCCAATATTACCAAAAACATCATTTCAATTTCGACATTGGACGCCAAAGGTTTTGAATTTCGAGTTAAAGACCAAACATGTTCATTTTATCTCGATAATGTTTTATATGGTACGGCACATTCAGAAAATGGTCTTTATGTGTTATCACTAGACAAGGAAATTTATAACGTTAATAATCCTGCAAAGAAAGCTAAGACTACACAGTCTAGTCAAACTTACTTGTGGCATTGTCGCCTTGGCCACATTAACATCAAACGCATCAAGAAACTTCTACAAGAAGGTATTCTTGACTCGTTTGATTTAGAATCCTTTGGGAATTGCGAAGAATGTTTATTAGGCAAGATGATAAAGCAACCATTCTCCAAGTTAGGAGAAAGGGCCGGTGACTTGTTGGGACTAATACACACCGATGTATGTGGACCAATGAGTACACCCGCAAGGAGTGGTTATCGGTATTTCATAACCTTCACGGACGACTTTAGTAGATATGGTTATGTCTATCTAATGTCGCACAAATCTGAATCATTTGATAAATTCAAAGAATTTCAGAAAGAAGTTGAAAACCAACTCGGCAAGAAAATCAAAGCGCTTTGATCGGATCGAGGTGGCGAATATTTAAGCCAAGAGTTCGATGACCATCTGAAAGAACATGGAATACTTTCAGAGTTGACACCTCCGGGAACTCCTCAATGGAATGGAGTATCTGAAAGGAGGAATCGAACCCTGTTAGACATGGTCCGATGTACTATGGGTCATAGTGAACTTCCAATCTCTTTCTGGGGACATGCACTTTTAACTGCGGCACTCACACTAAATCGTGCTCCGTCAAAAGCAGTGGAAAAGACTCCATATGAATTATGGACAAGCAAACCGCCAAGGTTGTCTTTTCTCAAGATTTGGGGATGCGAAGCATATGTCAAGAAACTCATTTCTGACAAAATTCATCCGAAATCTGACAAGGTTTACTTTGTGGGTTATCCAAAAGAAACCAAAGGGTATTACTTCTACAACAAATCCGAGAACAAAGTGTTTGTTGCTCGTGATGGTGTCTTCTTGGAGAAGGAGCATCTCTCCAAAATGACAAGTGGGAGGAAAATCGAACTCGACGAAGTTCGAGAGGACGAGCAACAAGGAAAAGTTGACAATCAAAGTGCTTACCAAGCAGCTGTTGTCATTGGTCAAAGTCAAAATATGCAAAGTCAACCCGACAATGCAAATGCTCAGTCCATTACCCTACGTAGGTCGACTCGGCCAAGATCTCAACCTAACAGATATCTCGGTGTTGTATTAACCGAAGATCTGGACATCCTAGTAGTGGATGGAGATGAGCCGGCAACCTACAAGCAAGCTATGACGAGCCCCGACTCTGCAAAATGGCAAGAGGCCATGAAATACGAAATGGACTCCATGTTTGAAAATCAAGTATGGGACTTGGTTGATTTACCCGCAGGTTACACACCTATCGGATGTAAATGGATTTTCAAGATGAAAACCGATAAAGATGGAAATGTATTTATTTACAAAGTAAGGCTGGTAGCAAAAGGTTACAAGCAAATTCATGGCGTTGATTATGATGAAACCTTTTCTCCAGTTGCTATGCTTAAGTCCGTTCGAATTCTTCTAGCGATTGCTGCATATTACAATTATGAAGTATGGCAGATGGACGTCAAAACCTCCTTCCTCAATGGGATTTTGGAAGAAACTGTGTATATGACACAGCCTGAAGGTTTTGTCGACCAGAATAATCCTAAGAAGGTATGCAAGCTTAAGAAGTCCATTTGTGGATTAAAGCAAGCAAGCAGAAGTTGGAATCGGCGATTTGATGAAGCCATCAGTGAGTTTGGTTTTATCAAGAATCCAGATGAGTCTTGTGTCTACAAGAAGGTCAGTGGGAGTGACATCGCCTTCCTAGTCTTATATGTCGATGACATTTTGCTCATTGGAAATAGCATTCCATTGCTAGAGTCTGTAAAGGCTTGGCTCGGGAAATGTTTTTCAATGAAAGACTTGGGAGAGGCTCAATACATATTAGGCATCAAGATCTATAGGGATAGATCAAAAAGGATGATTGGAATGAGTCAGAGTACTTACATCGATAAGGTACTGGCTCGTTTCCAAATGGAAGGAGCCAAGTGAGGGCACCTACCCATGTCACATGGTATAACCTTAAGCAAGAAGCAGTGTCCAAAGACACCTGATGAGCGAGAAAGGATTAGTCGAATTATGTATGCTTCGCTTATTGGATCGATCATGTATGCCATGATATGTACTAGGCCAGATGTATCGTATGCCTTAAGTGCTACGAGCCGATACCAATCAGACCCAGGAGAGGCGCATTGGACTGCGGCCAAGAATATTCTCAAGTACCTGAAAAGGAACAAGGATAAATTCCTGGTCTATGGCGGTAAAGATGAATTGGTTGTTGAGGGATATACCGACGCAAGCTTCCAGACAGACAGAGACGACTCCAAGCCACAATCCGGATACATATTCTGTCTCAATGGAGGAGCGTTTAGTTGGAAGAGTGCAAAGCAAAGCACAACCGCTAATTCTTCAACTGAAGCCGAGTACTTGGCAGCATCTTAGGCAGCCAAGGAGGCAGTTTGGATTCGCAAGTTCATTGATGAACTTGGTGTTGTACCCTCCATCAAGGGTCCAATAGACCTCTATTGTTACAACAATGGAGCTATTGCTCAGGCTAGAGAGCCACGAGAACATCAGAAGGTCAAACATGTCCAGAGGCGATTTCATATGATTCGAGAATGGAAGTCAGAAGGTGAAATCAGAATTTGCAAAGTTGGAACGGATGAAAATGTAGCCGATCCACCTACTAAACCTTTGTCTCAAGTGAAGCACAACAAACACATTGAGGCAATGAGAATCAAGCATGTACAAGTGGGAGATTGAAAGGAATGGTGTCCTTCGAACAAGTGTATTATTCTGATAGCGGGTTCAGAATTATTAGAAAGCTAATATATTCAGTAAGGTCAAGTGATCGGAATGCCTGGGTGGAGGCCGCTTCCGATCAGTAATATCAATATAATTAATATTACAGCTTAATCTTAACTGAACCCTTCGGGTCACACCCAAGCAAAATATACGAACCAACTCGACGAATTAATTCGGAAGAAATTAATTCGTCGCCCGAGTGTTAAATATTTAGACGTCGGTAATTCGAGCTTAGAGCGTCGAAATCGATTGTCGGAAGTCGAGTCAAAAAAATAAAAGACGAGACGCGCAAAAAATAATAATAAATCGACCATATTCCAAAAATACCCCTAGCATCGGAGTGCCCCAAGCATCCGAATGCTAGGGGCAAAAATGTCCTAGCAAAGGTGGCTATCAAGCACCAAGCCGAGCCTAGCATGGCTGGCTGGTGCGTGCTAGCAGCCACGGCCTGCAGCAGCTAGCAGCCAAAGCACGTGGTGTGTGCAGCAGCTAGCACAGCAGCCGCGCCGCGCCATTGCAGCAGCCGCACCGCGCCACAGCAGCAGCTAGGTGCGGGCTGGGCTCGGGCTTGGCTCGTGGCTTGGCTCGGGCCATAGGGCCGTGGATTAAGGGGAAGCATGGAATATGGGAGCAAGTGGGAGAGGACATGTGGCACAAGGAGAGTATTGAGTGGGGAGCAAGTATGGTCCCCTACTCTCCATGTGGTCCTCACCAACCCATCTCACATGGTAATGCCACTTGTAGATTTATTATTAGTTTGCAATTTTAATTTAATTTAGCTTTAAATTAATTTGTGGAATTTCATGATCCCACATTAATGGGATAGAAATTCCCACTCATACTTTCCTCAAATACCAACCTTGGCATTTGGAGTGAAGTGCTTGAGTGGGAGTTAAAAAGAGCATTCCATAATTTTTGGAAAAACTCTTAAACTCATATAACACTCGGGTTTTGGTCAGACCTTGCTAACCCCAAGGTAGTAGACATTAAAGTTGTGTTCGCCTTTTTTGGGTGGATACCGTCGGAGGCGCGGCGCTTGACGTGCTCGTAGCTTTCAAGTAAGAGCCCCGGTTTTTGGGCGAAGCTCGCTTCAAGGGTAAGATTCGTTATCTTTTCTTTGTGATTATTTATTTATGCTTTATGATTTTAATTATTGCGAGTGGTTCCTCGGGTCGGGGTTGTTTCCGCGGTGAGTCGGACTCACCAAACCTCAACAAAATTCGGTGCATTAAATCCATAAAAACAGCAAGTGCATTGGATAACCCAAATGGCATTACAGTTAATTCATAATGACCATAACGAGTCCTAAAAGCACTTTTTGCAATGTCCGACTCTGCTATCCTCAACTGATGATACCCTGACCTCAAATCGATCTTCAAAAATATTCCCGCCCCTTTTAACTGGTCGAACAAATCATCAATCCTAGGTAAAGGGTACTTAATTTTTTACTGTCATATTATTCAACTCTCGGAAATCTATACATAGCCTCAAGCTTCCATCCTTCTTCTTTACGAACAACACCGGTGCACCCCATGGTGATGAACTTGGTCGAATGTATCCTTTCTCCAGCAAGTCGTCTAACTTGGTCTTAAACTCTTTCATCTCAGCCAGGGCCATCCTATATGGAGCCTTTGAAATAGGTCCTGTCCCGGGCACTAAGTCTATAGTAAACTCAACATCCCTCACAGGTGGCATCCCTGGAATTTTTTCGGGGAAAACGTCAAGACATTCATTTACTACTGGAATATTTTTCCCATCATCTCTACCTCCTTCTTCTATCCTTTGGACGCTACACAAATACAGTGGATGTCCCTTTGCTACACACTTCTTAAGTTGCAAAGCAGATATGATTTTTAACCCTGATTTCCTCCCCTTCCTTCGATAAGTTACTCTAACCTTGCCCGAGCCACACAATGTGACCTTTTGGGCCTCACAATCAATTTGGGCCTTGTACTTGCCCAACCAGTCCATCCCCAAAATAATATCGAGATCTTATAAGTCAAGCTCGATTAAGTCTGACGGAAACTCTACATTTGAAATAACAAGAGGTACACTCTGATGCATTTTTGTGCAACTACCACTTCCCCTGATGGGATAGCAATATCTAAGGAAACAGACACCAGACTCTCTAACTTGAGTCTATCTACTAAAGTTCTAGAAATAAAAGAGTGAGACGCCCCTAAATCAAACAAGACTTTAGTAGACATAGAACAAATAAAGAAATTGCCAATTACCACATCAGAAGCAGTTGCAGCCTCACGGCTGTTCATCTCGAACACACGACCCTTGGGAGCAGCTCCACTGTTGTTGTTGGGTCCAGGCTTAGGATTGAATCCGCTGGGCTGAATTAGCTTGGGTTCATCTTGGGGTTTACCCAATTTCTCATTTGAAACCTTCTTGTAACACTCATACTCACGGTGGCCTAGCTTTTGGCAGTAGCGACAAGTCACTAGGATTCCCTCACAATCCCTTCCTAGGTGGTTTTTCGCACATCTCTTGCAAAAATAGGTTCTCTTGGGTTTGTCTCCATTCCCACGGTTCCCATTCCCTCTTTCAAAATTACCCCTGTTGTCCCTTTTCCTATTAAAATTCCCACTCGGGTTCCCCTAAACCTTGGGTTTCTTCTCACTCCCATTGAAAGCTCCACTAGGCTTCCTCTTCTCCCCAGAATAGTTTCCCTCTAGCTCTCACCCTTTGATCCCATAAAGGTGCGCTGCCCTCCTGTAAACCTCATCTAAGGTCTCAAAAGTCACTCCTCCCAATTTCCCTTGAAGGGTTAAAGTCAAACCTTGCTCAAACCTTTGGGCCTTAAGCGCCTCAGTTGGCACTACCTCAGGTGAAAATCTCATTAACTCAATGAACTTGCTATAATACTCATTAATTGTCATGTTCCCCATTCTAAGGTTTGTAAACTCCATACACTTTTGTTTCCTCAAATAGGCAGGGTAAAACTTCTCTCTCAAAGCTTCCTTTAATTGAGCCCACCCAAAGTTAGGATTACTCAACAAGTCATCTCTCCTTTGACTCCACCACAAATCGGCTTCCTCTCTAAGGTAATAAACAGCATTATTGACATTTAATTCCTCAGGGCAATTAATAGCATCAAAAAGTTTATCAAATTCTCTCACCCAATTTTCTAAGCTCGCAGGGTCTAATTTGCCAAGGTAAGTGGGTGGATTGGCCGCAGCTATTCTTTTAAAAACTTTCCCAAAAGCATTAAGGTCATTATGAGCTTTTCCCTGGTTTGAGACAATACCAGCTATGTTTTCGGTTATTTTGGTTAGCCTTTTGATGACAGAGTTGACCTTGGAACTACGCTCTTTCTTAATTCGTTGCCTTAGAGACATGATCCTGAATAATGTGGTAATTATACACATGAATTTACAAACAAATTACTCATCCATCCAACAAAGACTCAGAGATGAGATAACTTTACTGTTCACAAAATATCTTGAATACTAAACGTTCATCAATTTAACTAGAAAGTCTAAATTGCCATTTTAGAAGCAACTCTAAGTAAGGTCTCAAAAAAAAATCATCACAAGATTTATCATAATTTGCATACAATTATATCACACAAATCAACAAACACTACTTCACCATATAATTCATCGCATAAGAGTGCAATTCACCTTCCAATCCTTTTCCAAGTTAGGAATAATTATCTAATAATAATTCATAAACCTTCACTAATATACCTTGGAATATAAAATTCCCAAAAGTCTATCAATCTCAATGCAATTCAAATTTTAATTCGAACCTTTATATACTAAAACATAGTTTAGACGTTTGCTTAGTCCATATGCACATAATTCACGTAAAGTTCGAAATCATTTTTGAATACGTTTCAAACTCTTTAATTTAGGAAATATTATATATGTATAGTTATAATTTGAATACTTGATTCATAATGTGGATTAATTGGACCAATGAGATCCCAGGTAGGAGAGGTTAGGGACGACGTTGCCCTGAGCCCAAGTCCTGCCTAGCCAGAGCTCATTGCCAATCAAATAATCCCCACTATTAATCTTTCGTCATATTAAAATGGAAAGTAGTTTTTACTTAAATATATACTTAATATATACTTTCAGAAAACAAATGCGAAACTCTATCTTATATGCCCCTCATAGGTCTACCCATCAGTTTTATATTTCAATTTTTTTTTTAATCTTTTTAAGACCCGAAAATTGATACCACTTTGTAACACACCCAAATTACTCTCTAATATTAACAATAATAATCCAACTTTAGGGAGTAAATTGGGAGTATTACCGCCACGTGATTATGCAAGGCTTAACAGAGTTTTGCAGCGGAAAATAGTACTTGTCTTTCATTAATAATAATAGTAATAATAATAGTTTGATACACTTTCAAAGTGACTACAAAAGTAACTACTGATACTATGTTTACTAAATTAAACTAGGTGATCACCGGCTTCACCGCCCATCATTCCCAATGCAGCATATAGTTTACGTTGTCCGATCGTCATCACCTATCTACTTATCAAAATTATAAGTAGGGCCAAGCCAAAACAAAACAAATATGTATTAGCCAAAATGATAAGTACAAACAAATGCTAGACATGTAAAATCAATTTAATTAATTAAACATGCTTTCGAAGAGATTTAACTTTAATAAATCAGAATTTATCCAAACCATTCCTGAATAGAAATTCATGTATAAAAACTTCTCAAAGAACCAATTTCCGAAATAACCAGCTTTCCGAAGATAATTCCGAATAGGATGGATTAGTTCATGTTTTCATAAATCATTTTCCCATCTCAGTGTGCACACCCCCCAAGCTAGTAACTCCTTTACGTAGTGCTATCAAGGAGAAAGACTAGGTCATACAAAGTCCATAGTCTTCAACTTACTCCGCATAGTGGGAGTTAAAATCCAAAGATCCAAGGGGTAAATCCTGTTAAATAGACCTTCCAATATCCCATACTCGGGATAATTTAAACAATAAAGCTTCCTTTTTAAAACATCTTGAATATCAGTACAAGTTTATAATCAACCGTATGAAATATTTAAACATTTTAGATCAAACACTTAAAACATGTTTCACCAAAATATATTTCACGAACATTTAAACATGGTTCGAAATCATTTAACATGTAAATCACATTGCATATAAAAGTCACTTTAAAAGATCTAGCCACGTGTACGTACCTTGATCTTTGAACAAAATTACGGAGCTCCTAATTTCAAACCCGAAATTCCTCCTATAACAAACCAATATTTCTAATAAATACTTTTCAACCCATAGACACAAGGCCTTAGACTATCGACTTTGACTAGTTGTGCATGAACAATTTATTATCATAACCTTTTTATAAAATCAACACTTGTATTTATGAAACTATCTTTAATAATCCATAATAATAATAAGAATAATAATAACAGGAATTAGTAGTACTATACGTAAGCAAGTAAGTAGTGCTTATATATGTGAATAGTAGTAGTAGTAGTAATTTGTGCAAGTATTTGTTGTAGCTAGTAGTAATAATAATAGCAAACATCAACAGCAACAACTACGATAACAACAACAATAATCATAACAACAGTAGTAGTAGTAGCAGTAGTAGTAGTAGCAGTAGTAGTAGTAGTAGTAGTAGTAGTAGTAGTAATAATAATAATAATAATAATAATAATAATAATAATAATAATAATAATAATAATAATAATAATAATAGGAAGTAGTAGTAGTACGTACAACATAGAAGGAATAGTTGTAGTAGTAGTATTAGTGTAGTTGAGAGTAGTAGTAGCATATAGTTGGAATAAAATCAACAACCACAACAATAATAATACTATTAATATTAATAATCATCATGCATTGTAGTAGTACTTAAATTAGAGGTAGTACCTAGTTATTAGTATTTAAAACTAGTGGAGATTAAGCTTAGAGATGAAATAATTAAGGAAGAAGTAAGGAGTGGATGGTGTCACCTTTGGTGGTCTGTGGCTGCCGGTAGTGGGTGGCCAGATTGCGACAAGTGGTGCTCGCGGTGGAGTTCACGACCACTATATGAAAGTTTAGGGAAGGTGAATATAAAGGAGGAAATGGAAGGGAGGAGGAAATGGAAGGGAGGAGGAGATGGTATGGTTACAATGGCCTCCATCCATGGGTATATATAACCCCAACTCAGGCACTATTCCAACCGATTTCATAAATACTGCCAACCCAATTAATGCAGCCAACCTAATAAATGTTGTTGGCCTAATAAATGCAGTTGGCCCAATAAATGCTGCTGACCCAATAAATGCTGTCGGCCTAATAAATTTTGTGAATATGAGTAGTATAAGGGTTGACTTTGATTACGGAAGGAGAAATAATTTAGTACTTGTTAGTTTGACTTGGAAGCAAAATACTGGAGGTTGAAATTTCGACAACTTTGAGTTGACTCATATAATTATAAAGCGTAATAAAATTATATCTTTGTAAAATCATATATGGACTTAAATAGGTATTTTGTATAATGAAATATTTCGGAAAAATCCATATTTAATAATTAGTAAACGACTTTAAAAATATGGGGTATTACAAGCAATGCAACAGCAACAAATCGGTTACCCTCAGAGACGTGTGCTCGACGGAGCAAGATACGCGTTTCTTAACTATCTGTTTTAACTAACGCTAGTTTGCAGGTATTGGAATTAAAAGAATGATTTAGGATCGCAGAACGTTCTGAATCATTCTCCGTCCCTACCGATACTTTGACTTTTGTTTTCGAAACTTGGGTTTCTCCAAACTCAGTCAAAGTGGAGGCTTCTGTTTTAACATGTCGTTTGATTATCAAACAGAGAGAAAGTGTGAAAAGTCTAGCGATGAAGATGTTTTTTTAAAATATCTCTTCTTTCTGTTTTTGAAAATATTTCTTTTCTTACCCTATTTTTGAAAAACGTGCATTCCAGTTTATTTTGGTACATGATAAGGGTCCAATAATGGTGTAGTTGGATGTGGCTTGAAAATACCTTTCCAACAATATATTATAAGCCCAATTCCGATGAATAATGAGGAAGTTATGGCGAAAATACTAAACTAGGTCCGGTTTCGTTTTTATATGTGGCCCAATGATCTAGAGGAGGGCCTATTATTAATTATCATTCCTAAAGCTATTAGGATTGATTATAGACTTCTAGAATATTCTAGAAGGTTCTTTTAAATCCTAATGGAGTTAGGATTGATAATTATGTTTCAAAGAGTTTGAAATTGAATAAAACTACTCCTTTTTAGAATCCTTGTTTTGTACGAAGTGGAATATAGTCAGATTTTATTTTTGTCCCTCATAATATTTATCATAATTTTATATCGTTAGATAGATCTTGAAATTATCTTTCCAATGATATATTATAATATTAAATCCGAGCTATAACAAAAAAGATATGAATGGAATATGAAAATCTATCAAAAACTGACACCGTCCAACTATTTCGGCCATATCTTTCTATCTAAAAACATATTTTAATCTTATTCCAATTGGGTTGGAAAGTAGACTTCAAGAGCTTTCTAACGACATATTATATGCCTTATTTAAACTTTTGGATCAAAAGATATGATAAAAACAAAAGTGCATGAAACTGATTATTAGCGCCTGACGACAAGCATTAGCGTCTGGCGCTAACCTTCAGCTCCTGGCGCTAATGTCCAGCGTCTGGTGCTAATTGTGTTTTATTCTCGTCAAAACTCTGATTCGTTTTTTTATTCTTCCGACTTATTTTCTCTATAAATAGCCTCTTAAAATTCTGTTTTCAATCATCAATTCTCAACAACCATCAATTCTTATCACCAACTCTCATCAAGAATTTCTTGATTCTCTCTCTCTTTCTAAACCAACTTTTTTACATATAAAATTCCGCATTCACAAGATCTAAACACACCTAGCTAAATTCGAAGTTCCCTTCGCCCTAGATGTGAAAAATTTTAATTTCTGAGGGTTTGGTCCCAAATCTCTCTTTCACTTATTTAATTTAATTGTAGATTTTATATTTTCCTTGAAGTTACTAACGTGTGTATTTTGTTATTAGAAAGAGATACGAGGCATCCAAGTAAGTGCTTTAATTGTTTTATTGATATTATGATATAGAATTCATGTTTAGGGTAAAGAATATTATGTCAATTATGATTTCTGTGATGCCTTTTATTGTCTTTCCTAATAGTATAATTAGTGTTAGGGTTAAAGCTTTGATTTTTATTTCTTAGTGACATGCTGGGGTTTGTTATTAATCTTGTTAGTATCATGCCTAGGATCTTGCTTTCATTATTATGCTTTAACATGATTATGATTATTATAATTAATATTATTATGATTATTTTTATTATGATTATTTTTAGGTTGCTTGATATATATTATTATTATTGCTTGATCACACCTTTTATGCATGTTTAAAGGGAATTTGTACTTGTAATCACGCTTAATAAGATAATTAATATCTTGTTTAGGGTTAATTTTATTATAATTCGAGTGATCGCCAATAATAGATTTATTTGTGCATTGATATTCAACCAACATAGATAAACAGGTTTAGGGTTAATCCTATTGATTGCATTTTAGTCAGAAAGCGCACATGAATACGATCAGAATAAAGTAGAGGCCTATTATTAGGGCAGGTTCAATCTCTTATAGGTTGGATTTGTACCTTCATCCCGAACTACCAGTCATGGTTCTAGACCTATTGGAGTTGACGATCTCCTGGATCGTTAAGGGGTGTAACCTTCACCCTGTGAACGGTTTACAAGTTTCTAAAACTTGTTGGTGACTCTTTTGCTCTATCTTCTTTCCCTTTGGACGCCACCGTACTTAAGTGTATGATCACAGTGGGGTTCAAGCTAGGGGTAATGCTTGAAATATTCCCTACAACGTGAAGCTAGCTAAAACCATGGCTTTAATTTAATGATTTTATTAACCTCTAGCCTTCTTCTTCATTGTCCATTTTACTTCCTATCTTCATACTTCCAACCATATGTGTGTTTATCCAAGTTTCTTCTCATCTTCTAATCAACTACTAACCTAGACTCAATTTGATCCAAGTACTTTAATGAACCCCAAAACTTATCTTATTTTTCATACCTTCAGTTCTATCTTTTCCACTCTATAAAGACTATATATAGACCCACAATCCTCCTCAATTACTCACACAAAAAAAAAAAAAAAAAAAAAAAAAAAAAAAAAAAAAAAAACATCAGAAATTGCCTCTCTTACTCACCCAAAGATACACGTTTTTCCTTCACTTAGGTGAGGAAAATTGGTTTGGAATTATATTTTAAAATTGGAAGTTTATAAATTGGAAATCTATTGGTTTGGAAAGCTTTTATTGATGAACATACTACCCTTGGAAGGTTTAATTTTAGAAAGTGTAATTTTGAAAGTGACTTGTGACAAGTTAAATGGTTATTTCGAAAGCATGTTTGACTAATAAAAGTATTTACATGCCTTGCACTTGTACATTGACAGGGTAAAGTCGTATCCCCTAATCAAAAGTAAATACCGAAATCCTCTAACTAAAGTAGACAGGGAAGTAGGGTCGATCTCCACAGGGAAACAAGTCTTTTTACTCCTAATTAATTATTATAATCTAAATTATCTAAGTAACCAATATTTATATTTGAGTATGAAACTAAACTACAAAGAATAGGAATAGGGAGAAAACAATATATAAAAGGATCTAGGGCATAGGTTCACCAATAAATAATACTCCAGGGTAAAACATAGTAATCAATCATTGACATTGCATAAATAACATGATTAACAGGCTCTCGCAATTTATTAATCAACATAGATCTAACAGGCTCTCACAATTTACTAGATCTAATTTCTTATTGAAAATAGCCTTTAATATCAAATTAACATCTGCTCGATTCATCAATTTAATATTGCTATACTTTTACAAGCCGCAATTGTAAAACATTAAAACAATTCAATTTGAAATTATCATGCAATATCAATAATCAATAATAGTCAATCATCAATGCATCAATTAACCAGATTGTAAAGGGCTTTCGCTACGTATTACAATCACAGAATTAATCTACCGATATTAAATCTCATCTCTCGAATCTCGACTTAACCATTTATAAATTAATCTGCCTATTGAAACTAGACCTAAACATTAATTCTCATCTCTCGAATCTTGAATCAATATTGTCAAACTCATGCATAAAAGATAGGCCTAATCTAGTCACAGAGCATTAAATCAATCAATAGGAAATTAATCTAACATTGATAATTAACAATAGTAAATTACCCCTTCATATTATTTATTAGATCCCCAAAAACCTAGAAATTAAACTACTGACACATATTAAAAACTAAACAAATCAAAGCAATAAAATAAGACATGATTAAAGGAAGAATAAATAACTAAGATTAAGAGAAGAGGAATCGTTACCAAAATAAATCTAGAATTAAAAGTAGAATTAAGAACAAAGGTTTAGAGAGAGAATTCTAAGAGAATAATTAAGAGAGTAAAGAAAGTAAAGAGGAGAGGAAGAAGAGGTCCTCAAATCGTATTACGGAGGAGTATTCATACTCCGTACAAAATCCTAAATTAAAACAAATTAAAACTACGTTAAACATCTCCTAAGAAATACACGCGCCCGATCGGGCGAGGCACCACCCGATCAGGCACGCCTTCGGGCGCCAGCCTTTGCTTCTCTCGCCCGGCCAGGCGCGCCTCCGGGCGCCAGCCTTTTTGGCCTGGCGCCGACCTTTGCTTCTCCCGCCCGGCCGGGCGCGCCTCTGGGCGCCAGCCTTTTTGGCCGGGCGGCTCTCTTGGGCCACTATTTGGACTACGATTGGGCTCCAATTCTTCGGGCCAATCTGGGTTTCCTCTTTGGGTCTTGAATACTCGGTCCAAATGCCCCGGTATCACCTATACCGAGCCCTTAATCACCGGTTCGATGGCTCTAACCGGCCCTGGGCTATAAAATCTGGTCGTGTTTCTCCAATGCTCGTGATTGCTCCAAAATATCTCGGGAAAATACTCCAAAAGCATAAATCCCTGCAAAAGTCAACCAAATCTACGAAAACACTAGAAAACCCCAATTAGTAATAAAAGTGTCTCTAAAGAGCCAAAAACACTACTAATTATGACCAAGGGACAGGGGTAAAATACTATATAAAATAGACACATCATACATACTTAGCGTTTTTGCTAATCTGTTTTCCTTTTTGTTTTAATTCGCCCTGTTTACCATTTTGGTTAAGCAGTCTTGATTTCAGGTGTGGAGCGAATCGTTGCTTCGGAATCAACTTTTAGCATAAGAAGTCGAATATTGAATAAATGGAAAAGTTCTTACATTCGTGAAAATGTGGAGGCTTTAATAACAACTCGTAGTTGGATATTCTCTTATGAAAGTAAGTATTTTTTACTCTTTTTTTTAAAACATATGTTCCTTTATTGTTGCACTTATAGACTTACACAGTGTATTTGGTTATATTATTGATTTTAAATTATATATTTTACGTTATATTTATACTAATTTTTGTTTTTATATTTATGTAGCAAAAAAAGATGATGGATTTGTTGGTTCTTATGTGGATTGGGCTCCAACTGAAACACGTGCTTGATGTCAAAAAATTTAAGGGTGGAATATTGGAGTACGATAGTATCGGATAGTTAGAATATTAGTGTGGTTGCTATCTTTTTCAATGAGATCTTGTAGTATTGAACATTTTGTTATGAACACGTTGATGTAGAAATTACATTTTTATTGACCAATTGACCAGATTGGTAAATAAAAAAGACCCTTAGCGATAATTTGGTAAAAGAACTTACTTCGGCGACAATTTGGTAAAAAAAAAACTAACCTTAAGCGACAATTTGGTAAATAAAATAATCTCAGGCGACAATTAACCCAAAAAATACAAAAATTTCCGATAAATTACTCGCGAATGCTTAATACAGTTCGTTTTTCTTGTTATTTTACCAACCTTTTTTACGGAAATAACAATTTGAAGAAAAAAACGTTAAGTATCAATTTTCACTTAAGTTTCATACCTCTTATTAATGAAATTTTTTTAAAAAGGGGTTGGAAATAAAAAGGGATGACATGTAAATTCAAAATTTTAAATGGAAAAAATAAATTTAAGAACACAAAAACAAATTAAAATAGGATTTTTAAAGAGTTTGTCGGGAAAAAATAGATTTTTTGGTCTAAATGTCGCCGGAGTTTATTATTTTTACCAAATTGTCGTATATTGTTAGTTTTTTCTTACCAAACTGTCGCTGGAGTAAGTTTTTTTACCAAATTGTCGCTAGAGATCTTTTTTATTTACCAATCTGGTCAATTGGCCCACTTTTATTTCAACACTTGTGAAAGTTGTGACTAATTAGTAATTAGCATTAATTTGCTATTGAAAATGTTTTGAAGCTTGATTTCAGGTTAATTTATGCATACAATTATTCACTGAAATTTTAGTAAATTTTTATTAACCTTGTGTTGAAACACTGAAACTCCACAAGTTTGATGTATGGATCTTATAGTATGGCCTTAAATTTTCAATCATTTTACCAATTTGTTATAAGTTTAAACACAATGGTGGAAAAGGAATACAAAATATATGTAAATTATTTACTTACAATGTTACACATTTAATAACCAAGTCGGTTTCAAGCTATTTCGATTTAGTCGTGTTCGGGTCACACACATAGTACAGGCTTAAATCGATTTAGGTCATTTTGCATATAAGGTAGTTTTAGTTCGGGTCAATTTAGGTTTTGGATATGTTCGAGTTAATTAATTCGGTTTAAATTCAGGTCAAGTTGATTCGGTTATCAGGTCGATTAGGGTCGGGTCATTTCGAGTATCAGGTCAAATTCGGGTCGGAGGTCAGGTCATTTCGGTTATCGAGTCAATTTCAGGTCGGGTCAATTTGGGTATCGGGTCAACATTGGGTTGGGTATAATCGAGTCGGGTCAACTTCGGGTTTCGAGTCAAGGTCGGGTCAACTCCACATTGGGTCGGGTATGGATCGGATCAATTCCGGGTTTTGAGTCATTGTTTTCGGGTCAATTTCGGATCATGGGTCAGATCATCGAATCGGGTCATCGGGTCTGGATCAGGATTGCCAGGTCTAGTGGATCCTAACAAAATTGGTTTACCCTATGCTCCAATTTCAAAAAACAAAAGTCGTACACTCGAACTAAATTATTTCCTTGGTCAGCAAAAATAACCAGATATTGGCATTTTTGGGCCGAACAATCCAAAGCATCGTATGAAACTTGAAACTAATTTTTTGCTCCCTTATTTTAATGATGGTTTGTTCCCAACCGAAAAAAGGAAAAACAAACCAAACCAATCCAAAAGGGCCAATATGTAAAATCATCATACCTGAACGATCAGAGAATTAGGGGTGATGATAGAACATACAATTTCTTTCAAAAGACCAAGTTCAATAAGTATACTACGATGTATTCAGCAAAAATTTGTAAATCTATAAATGAACTTTTCATATATCAGTAAATTGTCAAAATCGCCGATAGATCATATGATTCATATCAAGCATTGGACCTGATGGGCATTCAAATGATCGATGACCACGGCCACCACAGGCACCACACATAATCATGTATATGCATTGATGACTTATGTGTCCTGGACGTCCACAATTTTGACAGAAGATATCATACAATTGACCCCCAGCAATGGGCGGAGGAATAGGTGGTGGGCCACCAAGCATGGGTGGAGGGCCCCTAAACATCAATGGTGGTGGATATGGTGGCGGGAAAGTTAGATTAGGACAATAGCGGGCCATATGTCCAGTCAAATTGCAGGAGTTGCAAATAGGCTCATTGAGACAATCACGAGCAAGGTGGCCAGGTTTTCGGCACTTGTTGCATGCTTTTTCATTCATACAGTCTGCTGTCAAATGGCCTGGCTGGAAACAATTGCTGCAAACTCTTGGATCGCTTGATTTAGGACACTCTCGGGCCAGATGACCCATCTTCCCACAGGAGTGGCAAATAGGTTGATTCTTGCATTCAGCAGATAGATGACCTGGTTCTTTGCAGTTCCAACACATTGTTTTTGAGTTACATTCAGCAGCCATGTGCCTAAAATCCATGAAAACTACTATTAACCAAGTGGAGCTTTATAATGATAAGCCAGAGTGCCAGAAAAATAAAAAAAAAGTTCCACAGGTTGGTGCACCATGTATCATGCATTTATGCATATATCCATTAGCAGGAAACCCTATCACTGAGAAGCTTACACCCACAAATGTACTGAAGATGATTCAACAATTTTCCAAATCAATTAATCAAAGCCTTAATCCATGAGTGCGATCAGCTACACAAACCAAAAGTGATTATTCCGTATAACATTAAAAAACCGAGGGGAGATGTAAGGGGCCAGATTTAAAATTTTACAGAACATTAATAAGCTATTCCTATCTCTGTTAAAAGTTAACATAAGAGAAAGGCACAAAGATAAAGAGAAAATAGATTTAAAGAGAGTGCGCGGATGCCAGATGGGCATTGAGCCCAACTTCAGAGAAAAAAGTAAAGGAAACTTACTTAGGCTACAAAGAGAGAAAAGGAGTACTATAAGTTGTACTTGTATGCTACAACTGGCAGACAAAATAAGCATATCTTTTATACTACCTTCGTTAACTATTATTTGCAACAAAGAGGTATTATTTGTGAGATATAAAATATTCCTTTGTTGCAAATAATAGTTAACGGAGGTAGTATATATTTTCGGAAAGATAAGAGCGTAAATATCATGTTTTTTTATTAAACCAAGTACAATCCCTTAACGATTCCTATTAGAGACAGCAGTGGCTTTAAAGTTGTCCTGGTTTCAAACATCCAAAACTTTTTGGAATCACCATCAAATAGACAGACACCAACGAGACAATGTTGCTTTCTAAGTGTAGTGTTAACTACACATCAAATGATACACAAAGCACAAGCATCTTCTTCGCAACTCAGAAGGCTTAAAGAGCTTGACCAACAGATCACAGAAGCATGCCTAGCGAAACTTAATGCGGTCAGACAGGGAGCTTGGCAAACAGATCACAGAAGTATGCCTAGCGAAACTTAATGCGCTCAGACAGGACTAACATTTACCAACATGACTTAGCTTATGAATTCCAAGCATTGCTTATCCTCAGGCCAAATCTAATTTGGGAACTCAAAATTTTTCCCTTCAACAATGGGGAGGTTGATATTAGAAATGAAATATATCAAATATTAGAAAAAAAATTCAGAAAATAGGGAAAAAAACATTCATTTTCCTGACTTAAGAATGTCAGCAAAACAGCCTTTTAGAAAAACATTCCATCAAATATATAAAACATTTATGCTATTCACATATGTCCCACAACGACTAGATGCTTATTTCACTGAATTAGTGCAATGATAAGTCATGGCAGGCAGCTCAGTAATGTTATTATTCAAGAGCAACACAAGTAGGGCCAGTAAGCACAGTGAAATTCAGGGAAAGTAAACATTAAAAAATTATGGGAGGGAGAGATCGGACAGGAAAGTTCAGGAAGAGAGATTCGAGAAGGGACAATTCTCCAGATGGTCCAAGAGGCTGAAAGATGAAAATCAAGCCACTATTGTCCGGTGAAATTTTAACAGAAATCAAGTGCACCACTGCCACATGATGTGCCTGCTGCCTTGGTGGGTGAAGGCAAAGAAGAGGAGCTGTTAAAGAGAGGAGCTATGAAGAGTGAAGAGAACGAAAACTTGGGCCGGGTTAGAAAGCAAAATTGTGAATTTTATATCTTTTCTTGATCAAATTTCTATTTTCTTCTGTGTGTGTGTGTGTGTTTTATACTTTTATTTCTTTATTCTTCGGTGTGTGTGTGCGGGTGTGCAATTTTTATACCCTTATTTCTTTCTTTCGTGTGCGTGTAAATGAATGAGAACCAACTCTAAAATCCTATGTCAGCGCTTAGTAGCTCAACTTGAGAATCTAGCACAGCGAATTACTTCCTACGTTCTTAATTACTAGACCTGTATTCCTTTTTCGGAGTTTCTTATTACTTCACCTGTTTCCTTTTTTAGGCAACTTTAACACTACACTCGGAATGATTTACCCTCACCTTTTCAACAACATTAACCCACAATATACTTATCACCTTCCCTCCTCTCTCACCTCAATCACTCATCCAGAGGCGAAGGGACGGGGGGGCTGGTGGAGGCCCGACCTCCCCGGCCCAAATCTGCCACTTGTAATTTTTATAGACTGGCCCCCATAAAAATATTATATATAACATTAAAATTGAATAAATTAGATATTCCAATGTCTGTCACATTGGTTAAAACTTGAAGCTCTTACCCAAGAGACGCAGGATCAAGTCCTTCCTTAACATAGTATTTTTACAACCACATGATTATTGATGTGGGTTGTTGTTGGCCTGATGGTATGGCCCAAATAAACCTAAAAACATAATCCGACAACTAATTTTTTTTTAAAAAAATAAAAGTTGGAGGTCAAGTTCAACAAAGTATGGAGTTCTTCCTCCAGGGTTTTTTTTTTTTTTCATTAAATTAATACATTCTTTTATGTGATTTATATGATTATTATGATTTGTAGTTTTACTTGTTTATTTTATTAAATAATCTTCTATAGTTAGAAAAATTTGGATCCAAAAAGTAATTTGAATGATGATAATGAGCAAAAACACAAATATAGGGCAAACAAATCTACTACTTCAATTCGTAAAGTAAGATTAAACTAATTTTTGTTCACCTTATTTTCACTTTTGTAAGGTCTAACAAATTTAGATAAGTTAAGTTCATAAAGAAATAAGTTTTGATAAGGGTCACCCAATTCACGTAAAAATTACAACTAAAATAAGTTTTGATAAGGGTCACCCAACTACCCAAGTATAAATTACAACTAAAATAAGTTTTGATAAGTTCATATAGGTTCAAATAAGTTTAAATAGGTGAAAATTAGGCAAATAGAATACACGCTTAGTAAATTTAAAATTTTTGAACCGTAGTGTCGTTTAACAAGTCCGTCACCCAAGACTCCTCCCCCCCCCCCCCAAAAGTTATCCATGGCAACTACCATCACCACCACCCTTATTATTGAAACACCAGCAAACATTAATCACCACACTTATCTCTCATCTTCACCGGCAAAGCCCTCCAAGGCCTCCACCCTCCTTCCCTCATAGGCTCACACCCTCTCTTTTCACCTTCGCACCATCGCCATCGCCGTCAATTGTAGAAGTTCTCAAAGTTTATCAAACCCAAGGCCATGGTGGTCGAATTTGGCCGGCTATCTCAAATCTGAAACCATCATAACCAAATTTGACCTAGAAGCTCTCAATTTCTTAAAACTTTGCTCCTACGTAACGGTGGTTGGTGGAGAGTGGGTATTTTCAATTTCCTCTCGTATGTTTACTTTGGTGGTGGTATGGACTGTGGTGAGAAATACGACAACGTATTGGAGCAGTATTACCTGTGAGATGATTGGTCTTACTGCATCGTCGACGTCTATTTTGGTGGTGGTTGTTGGAGGGTGGGTCTAGTCTCTCTCCTCTTGTTTCTCTACTTTGGCGGTGAAGGGAAGCGCTTTTTTTCAGTGGTCTGGATGGTGGCGGACCTGGCGGTGTAGGTGGCTATGGTAATGATGTCGGTAGTGGGGAAGGGGGTAGGGGTTAGTTGGCAGGGGTAAAGTTGTCTTTTGACATTATTTTCCACCCTTCCTTGATATATGTGCCTAAATCTAACGGGCCATATTTACATACAAACTCATTCTCATAACTAACATTTATTACCACCCTCAAAACAGGGCATAAACCCTATTGCAAAAGTTTATCTACACTCCATTTATCATATCAAAACTTTGCAAGTCCCCACTACTTTAGAATGGCTGGCAGTATCTAGCAACTGGTCTCATAACTAGCAAAAAAGAATATGAGCAACCAAGTGAATACAAACATTGTTGCTTTCATCCAGAACTTTTTAGTTATGTACAACACACCTTGTTTAGGGTAAAAATACCCTAGACACATGGACCAATGAGAGGAAGCCACGTGTCTAGCTCAGGATGGCCCACGTGGCCTAACATCCTCTTGACACTTGGCGCCCTCAGATATATCTCTGAAATTGCGGCCTTCAAGGGCCCAAATCCCTAGAAGCACCGTTTTACGGCGCAGCCCACTGAAAGTTAGGTCAAGTGACCTAACTAGGGGCACGCTCTCCAAGGACCCTATAAATAGGGAGGTATTTCCCCACTTTGGCGGACACATTCAATCATTTATTACACCTGCATTCTCTCACATCAGAGAAAGACCTGAGCTTGGAATCCGAGCATATACCCACCTAAATTTCCGTTCTCTCTATTCTCGTTCAAGTTACTAACTTGTGCGTCGGAGGCGGAGCACCACCCAACCGGTGTCTCCGTTATTTTGCAGGTACAACTCCTCCGGATCAGGCTTCGTGACGTAACTCTCCCAAGGGACAAAAACACCTTAAACATTTGGCGCCGTCTGTGGGGAGAGTACCTCGAAGATGGTTCAAGAGTCTGTACCATCCTCTAACCGTCTGGGCGATGACCCAGAAGTCTTTACAGACCAGGAGGATGAGGATCCTCAGGTCGAAACCTTTACAGCCGATGATGGCTCGCTCAGAAACAAGAGCATCCGGCCCAGAGATATTCTGGAGCGGGGTGCCTCCGAGGCGGGTACAAGTCGGCCCCTTGGGCAGCCGGAGGGGTAAACCCATACGGCCACTGGATCAGCACCTGTCACCCGAGACGAACTCATGAGATTCATGACAAATTTCAAGAGTGAAATTAAAGAGCTGATCACCCAGAGCCGGGTTGGCCCAAGTAAAGGCCAGTCGGCCAAGAAGACTCCTCTCGAAAAGGGGAAGTCAGTCAGAGAGCGACAGCCGGGACCATTGATTAGTCGAAAATTCTTCTCCCAAAGAAGAATACCAACAACACTCGCCGGACTCAACAGCCGGTGAGAAGTAAAAAATCAACTCCTGATGCCCGGGAGATTATCAATCGGAAGAGAAATCAGCAGTTGTCTGAATCGACTTCTACGTCGAATTTTCCAGACAGCTTTAACAATACTTCTGCG